AAATTCATAATTAAACGACAAAAGTTTCTATACGTTCTTAGGTATAAACGGATGTGGACTAGAAATTGGGTTAAGTTAAAAAGAGTGGATCCCTTTTTGATATCCCGCCATCTCTAACACCCTGACAACCCAACTCAACTCCTCCAACGTATTAGAGGGGAGTCCCTGTGAAATGACCGACCTGTACTGCAGTTGCATAGACCCGGAAGATACGTATCTTTATTTACAGTAATACAATAAGATGAATAGATTAGAAATGAGTGTAAGGGGAAGGGGGGACTCCAAAATGAGAGTCTCACTTGTCCTCCTAGGCAATCCTAAGGACCGGCCCTTCTCGGCAATAAAAGGGATAAGCACAGGGGAGAACACATAAGAATAGACAAATCATTCAATAATAACAATAGTAACTAAAATATCCGTTTGGCTCGGATCTGACTTTTCCAAACCTTTCTATAATTTCATCAAAATTCCCTAACCAAAAAATTAACATGAAAATAAAACTCACTAAACTTCTGTTTTGTTATCTGTAGTCCATTTAGTGCACTGCAAGAGTTGATTTCGCAAGTTCACTCTTTGAAGTTTCAAGCGCTGGCGAACACACTCAGGAGTGGCAAGCTTGGCACAAAGAATGTCTACAATAACAATTTCAATCTCTCAAACGGATCAATTCTCAACAACTATCAAAATATTAACGTTTCTCAGGGTGCAAACATCAAAATTGAAAACTCCAACAAGTTGCCATCTTTTTTCTTTCCTTTTCTCTATTCCTTTTTTGATTTAATCTGATTTTGTCCTTGTTTTTGGGAAAAAATACCAAAGTTCTTTCTAATTTAATTATCTTGTTGGATATTTCTGTAAAATAGTAATGCTTATTTGATGATTCAATGTAAAAGTAAGTTTTATTTTATAAGTTTTATTGTAAGCAGTTTATTTATTCATCTTGCTTATGCCAAAAATCAAAAGCGTTCAAAAAAATAAACTTTCCATCAAAATTGGCGATAAAAAAAAACAAAAGCACAATCAGAAAAATTTTTCTAGAAACATTAGTAGTTTGATCAAAAAATTTGCTGCTAAAGTTTTGAAATGTGCAGTGAAAAAAGCTTAATACAACACTTGCGGGGGTGGGACAAATGCGATCTTTTTTTGCGCACCTCGACATTTGCACACCTTTTTTTTTTGCTGGAAAAGGCCTTAGGCAAGGCCGTAGAGCTTCGAAAATATTTCCATATGAGGGAATCGTATGCGTAGATTCCGAATTTCGACAAATCACACCTCGCTGACACGTCAAATTTGGGCTAAAAGGCAAAAACTGCGAAAAAGCGTTAAGTTGCGTAGTTTTTGCCTTTTAGCTCAAATTTAACGTGTCAGCGAGGTCTGATTTGCTTTGATTTGTCGAAATTCTGAATCTACGCATACGATTCCCTAGTATGGAAACATTTTCGAAGCTCTACGACCTTTCCTAAGGCCTTTTCCAGCAAAAAAAAAAGGTGCGCAAAAAAAAGGTCGCATTTGTCCCACCCCCACACTTGCGACCTTTTTCCGAGAAAATCCTGGGTTGGCGCTTTAAAGCGTGGTAAAACTACCGTACCCCTCCTAATTTGCGCGAAATTTCTTTTTTTTTTTCATTCTTTGTTCATTTCATTTTATTCTTTTTGCGTTTTTCTGATGTATTCTCGTTTGTTTTTGCAGGAAACAAAGAGGAGAAAGTTAAGTTACGTTTTTAACAGCATTTTCGGTGGCGGAAGCTTTGTTTATAGAGTTTTTTTACACCCACTTGGTTCCCGACGATTTCCTTCACGAACTTGATGCCAACTAATGTTGAGTTAAGTGGTTTTTATCATTTTCTATGCCAGAAGCTTTGTTTTTGTGACTTTTTAGTTGAAACATTAAAAAAAACGCAAAAAGAATAAAATGAAATGAACAAGAATGAAAAAAATGAAATTTTGTGCAAATTAGGAGGGGTACGGTAGTTTTACCACGCTTTAACCCAGGATTTTCTCGGAAAAAGGTCGTAATACAACTAGTAGATTAGACAAAAGGATAGATTGTTAACCACTACCAAACATCCATCCGTTAGGAGCCGGCTATGGTGGATGGCTGAATGGCCAAGAGGTGGGTGCCATTGACATATGGGGCTGTGGTGGATGGCTGAATGGCCAAGAGGTGGGTGCCATTGGCATAGGGGGCATTGGTGAGGGTACACTGACCGGTACTCTTGGGTAGAAAGTCTGTGAAGGTCCGGGTGCCGGTGTTACTAATGGAACCGCCGGTGATGTCAAATGGTGTGCTATTGAGACCACTGGGGCTGAATGGGCAGGATTTGGGCCCAAGGCAATCGAGTTAGCTAGGGTCAGCGCCTGTAGATTAACATAAAGAGCCTCAATTTCGGCTATCAGCCACTCCAGCATCTTTTCCATTTCCTCGACATGGGCCCGCAATTTGTAATAATAGACAGTACACAAGGCGGTAGGCACATAAAACAGAGGGGGACCCAACAGGGCTGCCCCCGACACGGCAGCCACTTTTTTCGTTGTGCTGTTCCATTTGTGCTCTTTTCGGAGGCACTCGAATAAAGTATACTGTTTGTTTTTGTTGCCGGACGGTTTAATCCATTCGTTGTGTTGGTGGGTGCACTGCAAACAGTTCACGACTGCTCTCAGTCTCTCGTCGATTCGATGACGCTGAAGATCGTTTTTGAGCTGGGCATTTGACGACCCGTAACATCTTTCTAAAAGTAAGAACTTTTGTTAGAAGCTTAAATGCTTTAATTTTCCAGTAAACTGCTAAAAGTGACCTCACCTATCAACGTTTTTAGCACTTCAATGTCATATATGGTACAGCGTTTGAACTTGGCTTGAATCCTCTCTTTCACACTTTGGTCTGCTTCAAGAATCATTGAGATGACCTTTTGAGCGCAGAAAATCGGGTCCATACCTAAAAAAGGTGTTAAGAAAAGTTGACTTTGCCAAATGAGGATTGATAAAAATAAATTCGCTTAGATAGAAAAATTCAAACTGTATATTCTGTCTTGAGAGTGTAATTGATATAGAGAATAGAGTGTAGTTTTTACTTTTAGAACTTAGATATTTAAAAAAACTGTTATATGTAAATAAATTAAGATAATTTAAATTTATTTTTATTAATGTTGAAACACTTTTGTGCTTGATAAGTGAATGGATTTGAAGTTGCAATCAAAGTTGAAGAGCAGTAAACAAAATAACAAATTCTGGTTTTAAATGGTTTTGAAGGTTTAATTCCAGTCGGACCAAATATCGGATTCGATGTTTTTCTCAAGTATTTTCATCTAAAAGACATCAACAATTTTTGAGTTTCTTATCATTTTATCATTTTTTTTAATTTTATCATTTCTTATCATCATATCATTTTAACCATCTTTCTTTCTTTCTCATCTTTCTCAACAACTCGAGACATTTTTCAATAAATTATTGAGTAACTTTAAGTTTAAAAATCACATCTTAGATTTCTTTATAATTTCGGCGGTCGGCAATAACTTTTCTTTTTTATCTCATGTAGAAAAAATACAGGGTCACCCAAAATAACGAAATATCTTATTTAAAGAATATTTTAACAAGACATAATAAGTAATAAGACTAAGTAATAAGAGAGATAATAATAAGACTATAATAAGTAAAATAAAACAATTTTTAGCAATAATTAAAGTTCAAGTTTCTAAAAAACATTGGTTTTCGAAGTGGCTTCTTTTGGCTTTGATGAAGAGCTTTAAGCGCTTGACGAAGTTTTCAGCGATGGGCCGCAACTCTGCTGGAATGATTTTATCTCATTCAACAATTGCTTCACAGCCCCCAAACTTTTGTGTGGTTTTGCACAAGCTCTTGTCTCCAAAATCGACAAAACATTGTAGTCGAACGGATTGAGATCACAAGAGTACGGAGGCCATTCTTGAGCCAGATAAAGTCGGGAAGATTAGTCTTGCCACTCGCCATCACTCGCCATCTGATTGTGAGAAGCCTTTTTTCTTTCTACAAATCTATTCAAAGAGAGTTTTTTTATTCCTTAAAGAGAAATTTTGAAAAGAATCTTTTTCGCTTTCGGCAACAAAGAATGGAGAAAATAGTAAAAATAGAGAAATTTTTAGATGAAAAAAATTATTGAAAATTTAGCGAATAGCGCACCCCCTCTGGGGTGCGCTTCTATTAGAGGTGCGCCTCGATTAGAGTATTTACGGCAAAGATTCCACCAGACTACAGGCGCCTCTTGCACCTCTTGCGCCTCTTGCACCTCTTGCGCCTCTTGCACCTCTTGCGCCTCTTGCGCCTCTTGCGCCTCTTGCGCCTCTTGCACCTCTTGCACCTCTTGCGCCTCTTGCACCTCTTGCGCCTCTTGCGCCTCTTGCGCCTCTTGCGCCTCTTGCGCCTCTTGCGCCTCTTGCGCCTCTTGCGCCTCTTGCGCCTCTTGCGCCTCTTGCGCCTCTTGCGCCTCTTGCGCCTCTTGCGCCTCTTGCGCCTCTTGCGCCTCTTGCGCCTCTTGCGCAGTGATCTTTTGTATTACTTGCTTAACAGCTTTTCAATCGGCTTTTGATTTCATATTAATATGTTATATAGTCAAATACTCCACTAACGATAAGATTTACAGAATGGATTTTCTATTGCACTCTGCTAAATTGTGATGTTTAATCTTTGGGTACATTTTTGATTAATCAATCATTTTTGTCCTACCACATAGCTAATCAGTCTCTAGCCGAGTTATTTTACACATTTCATTCTTATTAGTGGTTAAAGCTTTTATATACGGGCTTATAGCTGTTTCCAGTACGCGGCTTTTCAAATTGCGTTCATTCTCTGTACTCTTTTAACCCAACTTTCCACTTGTTTGTCTGCCGATTTTATCGCCCTCTCACATTCCCGGAAGAAGCGAATAAGCTTATAAAAATTCGAGAAGATAACAAAAATTTTTCGCACTTAGTCACTGTTACCAACTAGAAACTGCGGCAATTTCTATTTGACATCAACTGATCATTGATGAGCAGCTATTTGCCATGGTGCTTCCGAGCTTGTCTCGATTGTGTGCAAGGACCGAGTTTCGCTGAAGCTACGTATTATAAAAGAATGAAAAATGAACCAGCTGTGAAGTTGGATGTCAATAAGACAGGTATGCTCTCAGAAATAAGTACAATTCTTACACAAAACATTTCAGGGAGCGACGTAATCATATTGAAAGAAGGTGAAAGAATTTGTGGAACTGGATCGGCTCTTTGTACAGCGCCATTAGTACAAAATAAGAGCTATTGGCAAGTGGATATTCAGCAAACAGGTGAGAGATTTGATTTGTAAAGATAGGCAAAAACTAGCGAAGGTAAGCTAAAGCCTGATGTTGAAGAGTTTGCGCATAAATTTTGTTACAAATAGCGTAATTTGTTGAACAAGAATTCAAGCATATTTTCAGGTTCTTGGTGCGTTGGTTTGGCAACAACGGAGTGTGGTTTAAGCGAGGCTCCGCCACGAAAAGGATTCTGGGGAATGAACGAGAAAGGAGAGCTCATATCGAACGGAGAAGTTGTGGGAAAAACTGAGAAAATCGTTGAAGAAGGGGATTCAATTGTGAGTTAGGAGAAAGATGATTGAGCTTTTAAATGTTTAGGGATTAACATACGATCATTTGGAGTTGAAGTTCTACGTGAATGGAGACCCGTTGACGGATGTGGTGACAAATGTTAGAGGAAAGGTGGGCAATCTTTCGCATGATAAGTCAGTTTTAAGCTGTTAACAGTAAGTTAACAAGTACGCAACTCAGTTCTGAATCAATTTGTCAACAAAAGAAACAAATAAAAGTTTGTTCTAAACAGAAATCCTTTCCAGGTTTTCCCAGCCGTTTTCGTCGACGAATCAGCCATTCTCGATGCTCGTTTCTCCGATTTCTCTAAACCACCACCAAAAGATTTTAGTGAAATTTTATTAGAGCAAACGATTCTTTGATTTCTTTGATATTTTGAAAGATTATCTCTCTTTCTATCACTGCACGGGATTGCAATATTGGTGAAAGTGATTCTAACAGGCTGTGAATAAATACGTGTATCAAATTGTATTTTAACAATACCTTGATCAAACATTGCTATTTAAGCTGGAATTTTGAAGTTGTTGGCTGAAGGGCATTAAATAAAATGTGATTTTAGAATAATGGTACTGAGGTTAATGTTGGTATTAGTGACTTTGACGAGTCGAATTCTTGCCGCAGAAGAGCTTGATTTCTTCCCGACACGATGTGAGACTTGTGTTCTGATGAGCAAATTGTTTGATGACTATGTGATGAAGAATAAGGTAAATGAAGATGAAGCTAAATGAAGATAAATGAAGATGAAGCTAAATGAAGGTAAATGAAGATGAAGCTAAATGAAGGTAAATGAAGATGAAGCTAAATGAAGGTAAATGAAGATGAAGCTAAATGAAGGTAAATGAAGATGAAGCTGAGCTAAATGATGAGCTAGATATAGCTAAATTATAACAATACTGTCAAATAAGTACCGAAAATGTATTAGGAATAAAACGAATAACGAATAAAAAGTATAAAACGTATACGTAAACGAATAAACTAAACTTTTAAACTTACATTCATGGATTTGCAGGAGATTGAAAAGTTTTTAGTCCTGATATAGCTGAATATATTTATTTGCTATGCCAATTTAGCGTTCCGAAGCCTCGATGATCGAAGGAATGGAGAAAGTCTGTCGAGACTTGGCTCAATACCGTTTACACAAGGTATTGTTCAAGAGAAATTTAAAAAAGAACAAAGAAAAGAACTAAACACATCATTTAGGACAAAGATGGTATTGATCGTTTCCAAAAGAACGAGTCGGAGACAATGAAAAATTTGAAAGAGTTGAGAGAACGGGGAGTGAAGGTTGGTAGAAAAGTGGCTAGGTAAACAACATTAATTAGTTATCTATTGTTGCTAGAAGACTTGTTCTTTAAAAGTTAAGTAGCTGGCTAAATCTTTTCAGTCATAAAATCGTGGTTTTAAGGTTGAATTGGGAATGCCGGATGAGCTTTGGGATGTCCAATCGGTGGAGATTGCTGAGTTGAAGCGACTTTGCGAGACAATTGTTGAGCAGTATGAAGATGCAATCGAAACATGGTATTGGAAAAAAGGATGGGATTTTGAGGTGAATATTTCAGTTCTAAATTTACATTCAAAAACTATCATGCAATTTTGTTTATCATTTCAGGGCGGTGTTTGCAAGGAGCGAGTTCTTCGTGGCGGTGACATCTCATGTATGGCTGAGCGTGTCGAAAACGAGTTATAAGCTTTTTCTTGTCATAGTAAACTGCTTTACTTTCAACTTTAACAAAGAATTTCTACCTTTTATGTGCCTTTTTCTTTTTACGTGCCTTTTCCCTTAATAACTTTTGAATTTGTTCTTTTTAGTTTCTTTATTCGAATCTCTTATTTGGTGCTTTCTGAAAACTTGCCATAATATTTAAACTGGTGCTATTTGCTTTAAAACTGAAATAGGAAATAAAATTTATGAATTGAAATAAGGCAATTGCATTACATATTCGTTTTCGCAACAGCGACAATGATTCGACAAATGAAACCAATGAAGAGAACGGTCAACTCGCCCAAAACCGGGAAAGCCAATTCGAAAGTGATTAGAAGACCTGAAACCTTTTGATAATCGAAATCACAAAATATTTCATGATACAATTCAAATATATCAGCTTTTATGTATTAAAACTTTAAATTTTAATGTTATTAATGGGTTTTAATGTTAGCAGGGCGGAAACCCGGGAAGAGGTCAGTGCTGCAAACTCTCCAATAAGTCGTTGGGGCTGAAAGAGAGCTTGCAGCACTTAAGTTGCAGCAATCCCGGGCCTGTTTAAGTCAATTTCCACCTGATAATGCGCTATTAGATTAAAATACGTTAATACTACAAAAAAACTAAAACCTCGAAAAATCCATGAAAAAAGACTAAAATATAAGGAAATTTAGTGAAAGAAAAGCATTGACCTCCTCTCCCCCACAAAAGTACCTTGTATTCTTATAAATGTAATATAAATCTATAAATAAAATAAAAAAGTTAGTCTTATAAGTGTGTAGTAAAATCACCTAAAACTTGCACAACATCCGATCCACCGAGATCTTGTAAAGCGTTGATTATGCTCATGACTGAAAAAAAAACAAAATCTGGTTTCGTTTATTATTCAAGAATTTAATTAATCTGAAAAATGTAAACTGTAACTTACTTTATTGCAATATTTTGTAGATTTTATCGGACTAGATCATCGCACTCCTTGGAAACTGAAATTTTCCGATAAATCGAGGTATCAAAAGATAAAAGAAGCGAATTTTAAGAAAAAAATGTTTGTGTAAGAGGTGGAAACTTGTCCTAAACAGGAGAGGCTTGGGAGGGAAATCGATTGGAAAAGGTTTACTGAAAGGGAAAAGGGAAGAGGAGGAAAGTATGGAGAAATGGGGAAAGGGCAGTGGAGGTCCTTTTCGATTCTTTCTTTGTGGATTCAAAGAGGAATCACTTTGCACTGTATTGTCAAGCATTAAGAGCTTCGTACTGTAGAAAGTGTCGATACCTAAAGTGTAGATTGCTAATCAAAGAACGCACATATAAATTTGCAGATACAAATCCAGAGCGCACATCTTAATGTTCACTAACCACCTAACCCTATTTTTACCTATCATTCAAGCAGTGAAAGTGACGATCGTTTTTCAAATATCATATTTCATTGTTCAGTACTGTAAGTAGACTAATTAACACATTCACGACGAGGCTGTTTTTCACAAAACTGCCACAAAACTACAAAACTGACAAGAGTCGCGAGAGAGACGGGAAGTCTGGGTTATCTGGGACGTTTGCGCCATGTCACTCAGTCGAAAAAGGCATAAAATCTTGCCAGAGAGACATTTTTTTCAAATCTAACATCGAATTTGGATTCCCCACTATCGATTTGGTATTCTCACAAATTTTCGGGTCGATCTGATGACACAGGCTAGCTAGACTAGCGAGCCAAAAAAATCGAGGAACCCACCCTGGGAGTCCCTTCGTTCCACACGTCTAATCACTTAGGAATCCACCTAAGTGAAATGAAATGTGGGTCTCTTCGTCGTGAAGTGAAATGTGAAGTGAAATGTGGGTCCCTTCGTCATGAATTCCTTAAAATATGTACGCAAAAACACTTCAAGATATAGGAAAAGTGATTGTGGTCTTCATAGCGGTTTCGGTTTGTTTTTTGTTGAGATTCTTGATTTTAAAATTAATTTACCATATTTAGAATGGAAATTGTACAGCGCTTGTCTCAAATGTTGGTGCCTTTGTGAGATGGGAGAATACAAATGATTTCTCAATTCACAACTTCTTTGAAAACAACTATTACTCGAGTGTTTTTTTTGACAAATTTTAAAGCAATAATTTATTTCGCAACTCCAGAACTCGATTGTTTCATGTAGTCACGACAATTCGAAAAGTTTCCCTTTGAAACATAACACATCGCGTCAACTCTCCACACTAAACCCTTTCGATAGCTCACTCCACAGTCAACGTTGAACGAATCACCAAGGCACCTAGAAAATACAATTTTAAAGCTAAATTTTATTTCACCAAGGCAATTGAGAGAAGATCTCCATCAACTTCTCGTCACTGTTCGCTTTTATAAGTTGCGCATAGCTGATCATCACATTTGGATGTGAAAGAAAAGGTAAATAGGCATGTTTGTTGAGAGTGAAAGTATCGGATAAACACGCTTGAATAGGTTTGTATTAAAATTTGATCAATGCAAACCGGATATGGAATTGGTTGAGCAATTCTTCACAATGTCTTGAAGCCAAGAGATGATCTAAAAGTGAAAGTTGTTGTTGTTTAAAGCCTTGTTCGTACTTTGTTCGTACTTTGTTCACTTACCATCTTTTTAAAGTTGGTTCCTTGTTTACTTGTTGGTTGATAATCATAAACAGCTTGTCTAACCAAAGCCACTTGTTCAGGGATTAATTGGTTAAGGGTTTTCTGCAGCTTTAAACAATCGTCAGTTGAACATTTCGATGAGTCGATTCCATTTTTGTCGGTTTCCGTTGTCATCAAGGTTGTGATCTCCGATGCAAGAGCTTGGGTTTTGTTGTGAATTACTTCCAGATCATCTAAACAAGTTATAACTTTAAACCAACTGAATCAACAAGATTGTGGCGAATTGTCACTGCTCTACAGTTAGTCAAAATTCAATACACAAGTTAAAATTCAAAGTTGCTGGATAAACTACCGTAATCAACCACTAGACGATATTCAGTTGTTCCTTTGTCGTAGCTTGTGTACTTAAAAACCCATTATTTAAGCTTTTTTTGGAGTCAGTTGTGGGCTCCCTTTTCTATTTCATCCCTTTTTTCACACGCAAGTGTTGAAGTAATTGTGATAGTGCCAGGTTGCTCCAGTTTGAGCGAAGTTTGCCCTAATAAGGGAAAGTTTTGATAAATTGTGTTTTCAAGACATCTACCATTGAACCACACCGAGACACGGTCTCATAAGAAATTATAAAAATCAAAGTATAAATATATTTCTTACAAAGACACAAGTAATTTAGATCTTATAAAGAGAAAGAGTTTAGAAAGATTTAGAAAGTTTAGCTTAGTTTAGAAAGATGTACAGTTTGACTAGTTTTGAAAGGTTCCTATTTTGATCTAATACGGCTCCAATACGGTTCCAAATAACCGAGTTTCAATATTAGATAACTCCCATTAAAGAACCAAATATTAATGGTTCCTATTTTGTTCCAATACGGGTCCAATACGGTTCAAATACGCCAAGTAACACTGAAACACTTAGCCAAGTAACACAATTTAGGCATAACTAGTATTTCTTTATCAAAATTTTGATAACTTACCGATGCTGATAGCCAAAGTTGTGGCAATAAATAAGTTTAGGAGAATTTTTTGAAACATAGTTCTAACTCTAGTCAACAAAGAGTGAGTAAACGATGAGAAAAGCGGGTCAGATTAACGCGTGAGTGAGCGATGAAGCTATAAAATGAGCGAAAACGGGTTTTTCCTTCAACATTTGAACTTTATTTATGTTTCCATGAGAACACACATAACAAACAAAACAACAATGAGATTTTGAGGGTTTATTGAGGGTTTTTTTTGATATGAAAGCTAGCAAAACAGATAATAGATTGCCAGTTTTTAGACATGTTCAGAAAAAATATTATTTGCTTTATCGTTTTTTGTTGTTGAATGCTATTGTTGAATTGCGATAAGCTCAATGATCAAAATATCAAAATTGTGCTTTTTTTTGCACACTATTGTTAGATATTCAGGATTAGATTGTCAAAGAAAAGCCAAATTTAAAATTTACTTGAGAGTCAGAACCTAAATTTTAAGTTTCCGGTGACTAGGAAGAATTGAGATGATTCTGTGTCTTTTTCTTTGTTTTCTGACTTTGATTACATGTAAAAAAGTCTATTTGTTTAATAAAATTCTTTACACAAAACCAAGTAATATTAGGTGTGTGAAAAAGTAATCCACGTTTTTATTTTTATTTTGTTTTGTTTGTTTTGTTTTGTTTTGTTTAAATAAATATATCTAAACAATTTTTAATTTTTTGTTTACGATATGTATAATAATACTTTATTCAAACGATAAAGTGAAAGAAATCATAGAGAAATGCACAGTGATACTTAATCATACAATACATACTGAAATCAATAAGCCAATTACTTACGGCAAAAAGCCACTAGATCTAAAGCATCGATACGTTTCTTGAATATGAAAAGCGACTGAATTTCTCGTATGTCGTTTGGGAGCAAGTTCCATAATCTAGCGGCTCGTTTAAAAGCTTATTTTTTCCTCTTTCGAATGATATGTTTATTTTGTTAAAAGGACGACAATAAACTACTTTCATTTTAGTTTGAAAATGGTATACACAAGTATCGTTATTCGGTCAAATTTGCTTTATGTGTTCAAAAATGGGTTGAAAGCTGCCGAGGCTGCACGTCGAATTTGGAATGCGTTTGGCGAAGACGCCGCTATTGATGATACCGCTAGGTTTTGGTTCCGAAAGGGGCGACCTGTTTTGATGTTAGATGTTTCCTCAAACTCTTTTTAACTCTTTAGAATTCAGGCCTTTCATTATGTTTTGATGGGTTAAAAAAAATTGAATGCATGAATTTTATCAAAAAGTTGGACAAATGGATACCGCATAAACGTTAAATACGTGGATTACTTTTTCACACACCTAATAGAAATAAAAACGGAAAAATATCGACAAAGTCAAAAAAAAGAAGTAAAGTGATGACAATTTTCGAGAATCGGTCCTCGTGAACGAAATGATAAACTGATTAAATAACTTCCAAAATAAACATTGTTATCTGGAAAGAAAATTGTATTTTATTGAACTCAAACTAAAAAATAAGTCATGATGGTGAAGAACTTTCTTTTTTAAAAAGAATCACGTGAATTCCTAATGGACAAAGAATGATAGCTGAGGAAAACGACGTTTGCGATTAGGTTATGAAAGGCTTCAAATGGCGCGCTCACAAGTGGAAAATAGCTAGCTGGATTAGGAAGTTTATTTTCAAATCTACTTAAAGTAGGTGTTTTGCTAAAAAGCACTTATTTTAGAAACTACCGGAAAATACCTTTTTTTGATCACGGTGCTTCAGCCGAATTTTCGCATCTGAAGCCTATTCCTCACCGAATTCTATCAGCTGATCAATGGAAATTAACGGTTTAAGTATGGTAGCTTATTAAAGCTGATTAAAGCTGATTAAAGCTGGTCAAAGCTGGTCAAAGCTGGCCAAAGCTGGTCAAAGCTGGTCAAAGCTGGTCAAAGCTGGTCAAAGCTGGTCAAAGCTGAGTCAAAGCTGATCAAAGCTGATTAAAGCTGATTAAAGCTGATTAAAGCTGATTAAAGCTGATTAAAGCTGATTAAAGCTGGTCAAAGCTGATCAATGGAAATTGGCGGTTTAAGTAAGGTAGTTTATTAAAGCTCAATTAATCTCTATTTAAGCCCTTGTTTTTTGGCATTCTCTTCTCTTTTTGACATCTTTTTGACATGTTCTAAACGACTCCAAAAAATTCAGCAGATAGCTAATTCTTTTTTACATCTAATGGGAATAAGAAACACAAAGAAATTTAATCGCAAATGCATTATTTTGGCCAGCTTTTTTTTGACCAGCATTCCAAATTACTGCGTTAAAGCTGCCCTGAAAAAAATGGGTGTTAAAAAGCTTGTTGAGCTCGCATTTGCCATGTCATTTATACAAATCAGATCCCTAATTTGCCCAGCTTCTCAAAGTTACAAAACGAATTCGGAAACCGATGCGTAATTATGAGCATCTTCTGTCATTTTAGAACCGAATCGAAAAACTTTACAATCAAAAAAAACCAAAAAACGTGGACAACTCGAATTTGATAAGCACGCGAGTTTTGTTAGAAGAATTTCCCGAAATATTTTGAAAAATTCCATTTCAAAGTTCTGGTTGTGCCATCTTTTAAATAGATTTTCAATAAGTTTGGACAACTCGAATGATTCCTCATAGATTACAAAAGATTTTGATTCTCTGGAGGGTGTTCTATGAGTGTGAATGCCGCGACGCGGCCTCGATCGGCTGATCTGGCCGGATGAGGGATTTTTGCTTATCGATCAAGAACCAGAAAATGGTAGTATGAGAAAAATTAGATAAAAGTACTTAACCATTGAAACTATTAAGAGAACTAACGACTTTGTTATCAAAATATTAACCAATTTTAGCCTTTCGACCCGGTCACCGGTTCTCAATTGAAAATTAATCGTGGAAAAACGTCAATAACGTCCTCAATTTTGGACAACTCGAATTTTGATAAGCACGCGAGTTTTGTTAGAAGAATTTCCCGAAATATTTTGAAATATTCCATTTCAAAGTTCTTGTTGTGCCATCTTTTAAATAGATTTATTTCCTTAAAACTCAATGATCACAATATCGAAAAAAAAATAGTGGAATGTAGGGATTTTCTTCTCTAAATTTGTAACCTAGATATCACAAGATCGGCAAAAGTAAGGACAAAAGTTTAAAATCAAAGAAAAAATGAAATAAGGCAGTAATTCTCAGCACTGTAAATGTTACAGTTTTCTCAACACAGGAAAAAGTTAAATACAGACAAAAGAATTGAGCTTATTTTGGGATAAGTGAGGAGAAAGGAAGAGAGTTGTGTACTTTGTGTTCAGAAATTGAAACGAACGACCTGGTGCACTGAATTCTTTATTTTCTTGCTGATTAGAGTATCAAGATAAGTTCAGTACGCCAGAAAGCTTCTATTTTAGCCTCAAGAGCACCCAAGTATCTCGTCAAAGTGAAGCATCAACTATTGCTGAACTTTTAAAATAGAAAATTTGACATTGCTTTCAAAAACACCTAAGAAAACGAGGATTTAAGCTAATTTGTGGTAGCTGTTGTGTTTGGAGAATCGTCCATATCACGCCTTTGACACCAATCTTTGAAGAGTGCGGTGAGAATTTCGCCAGCCAAGAGATCGCCTCCGTTTGTCTAGAAAATGATTGACTGATCAATGATCAAACTGTAACAGTTTGCCTGATCAAACTGTAACAAATTGCCTGTTCAAACTGTAACAGATTGCCTGTTCAAACTGTAACAGTTTGCCTGATCAAACCGTAACAGTTTGCCTGATCAAACCGTAACAGTTTGCCTGATCAAACTGTAACAGTTTGCCGGATCAAACCGTAACAGATTGCCTGATCAAACGCTATTTGCTTACTCTATCTGTAAGGTTTATAACTATAATAAAGATACCATTTGTCTGAAAATGAGGGTAATATTTTTATCATATTGTTGTTAAACGTTTGGGTTAACGTTTGTGTGAATGTTGAAACATTATTCTGGTTTAAAAGACAACTAGTGAAATTCTTTTACAATATCAAACTGAGAACTGATCTGAGTAAGTCTAATTGTGAAAGAAATTGAATTTTTTAGTAAAAATCTAGTAATTCTTGCCATTATCTCAAGTTTTAGTGAAAAAGTTGCCATTTTTACCTGTATTAGTCTTGAAAGAAAAACTCCATCAGCTGTTAGAAAATGCTTTACAAAAGAGTCGATTTGATTGTTCTGCTTCGCAGTCGGTGTTGAATCAACAGCTCCAGTGCAACGAAGATATCTGTAAAAACATTAATCATATTGGCTTTACGAAAATTTTTAACAGTTCTTACTTAGAGATGAATTCCCGTTGATTGTTGGGCATAAGAAGAGAGCCAAGCCAATAAACTAATGACATCACTGAGAGAACGCCGACCAACAAGAACCAGAACCTGGAAAGATTGGTACTATTCTGTTATAAATCAATATTATCAACATTAATGTAGGGATTGTCTTCTCTAAATTTGTAACCAGTTATCACAAGATCGGCAAAAGTAAGGTCAAAAGTGTAAAATCAAAAAAAAAATGAAGTAAGGCAGTAATTCTCAGCACTGTAAATGTTACAGTTTTCCCAACACATGAAAAAGGTTAAATCTATATTGTTTTATCTAATTTGTGTACGCTTACCTAAAGTATTTTTGTTCTGAAATTAAACTCTCCACACTTTTTCTCAAAAAGATCTGGATAGGATATATAAAAACAGATGTATAACAAGATACAGTCAAACTTCGATATAACAAGTCTCAAGGGACTCAAAGAACCCCAAAAGGTTTGTTATATCTAGGTGTTCATTGTAACGAAGGTCATTTTAATGTAAAACCCTTTGTTGGGACCAAAAATAGTGTTCATTATATCGAAAGTTTCGTTATATCGAAATTCGTTGTATCAAAGTTCGTTATATCAAAGTTCGTTGTAGCGAAGTTCGTTATATCGAAAGTTTCGTTGTATCGTAGTTCGTTGTATCGTAGTTCGTTATATCGAAGTTCGTTGTATCGTAGTTCGTTATATCAAAGTTCGTTGTATCGAAGCTCTTTATATCGAAAGTTTTGTTGTATCGAAGCTCGTTATATCGAAAGTTTCGTTGTATCGTAGTTCGTTGTAGCGAAGTTCATTATATCGAAGTTCGTTGTATCAAAGTTCGTTGTATCAAAGTTTGTTATATCAAAGTTCGTTATATCGAAAGTTTCGTTGTATCGAAGTCCGTTATATCAAAGTTCGTTATATCGAAAGTTTCGTTGTATCAAAGTTCGTTGTCTCGAAGTTGTTATATCGAAGTTGTTATATCAAAGTTCGTTATATCGAAGTTCGACTGTAGTAGCAAGTAATTTTGTTTCACTTTGATCTTTTTTTCATTTTAAACACACTCTTTCTCAATTCTTCGTCAGACACTTTTCATTAGAGCCCTTAAATGAATGAGAGTTTCAAGTAGGAGAAAAGAGAAAGGATATAAAGTAGAGAATTTAGAAAAGCTTTTAAAAGGGTTAGAAGTAATGTTTTTCTAAAGTTAGATTTATAAATATATTTACTATTCTATTAGATTTTTAATCCTATTAGTTATTACTACTTTTTCACATTCCTTCACAAGGATGCGAGATAGGAAAGGTAAACGAAAATCCTTTTGAAACTCAATTGAGTCAGTGAGACTACAAATTATGTTAAATTCCTATTTTTTTTGCTTTAAATTACAAATAATCGAAATTTTTCAATCAACAAACCACAAGAAGACGTAGATTTTCTCGGTGAACATGTTAATCATAAGAACACATTGCACCGTCCATCGGTGGAGATTTCCCATCACTCGAACCTAGATTTGATTCTAGGTCACTCTTTTTGACATCCCAGATTGGTTCTAAACGGCTCCAAAAAATTCAGTAGATAGCTATTGGGTTGGTGAATTGAAAACTGCGGGCTATTGTCATATGTGACAATTTGAGCACTTTCTTCAAAAGAAACCCATTTTGGTGTCAATGGAAAAGTTGTAGAGAATCAAAAATTAGGCTTATAGCCTAATTTTCAGAACGATTCAAAAACTGGTTTTGAAGAAATGCCAAATTTACGAATTTTCACAAAACTTGCATTTTAAGCGAAACTACTAAGTGTATCTTTTTGAAAATTTGGCTATAAGCCTAATTTTTGATTCTCTACAACTTTTCTATTGCCACCAAAATGGGTTTCTTTTGAAGAAAGTGCTCATCTGATCATCTCCAGGACATATCCAGTCCTCCATTTTTGAGTCTCACACTTGTCTCACACACAAACCAAAATCCTACTACGAAAGAGGAATGCGCAAATTGCCTGTAAAATGGGCAGAAGTCGTCAATAATAATGGAAATTATTGGAATGAATTCATCGTTTTATGATGAATAAATTTTAGTTCAAAGTCCGGCAGTTTTCGATTCAACAACCCAATATAATAAAATTTGCGGATGTTGCAAAACTGACTAGCTCTAAAATAAACAGCCTTGTTTGGGAACTTTTGGCGCATCCCCCATACAGTCCGGACCTCGACCCTTTTGATTACTATTCATTCCGGATCATGAGTAATGAACTTGCGGGAGAACACTTCGATTCGGAAGAAGCAGTCAAAAGTTGGCTTTGAAAGTTTTTCGATTCAAAACCAAAATCCTACTACGAAAGAGGAATCCGCAAATTGCCTGTAAAATGGGCAGAAGTCGTCAATAATAATGGAAATTATTTGGAATGAATTGATGGTTTTATTTTGGATAAATTTTAGTTCAAAGTCCGGCAGTTTTCAATTCCCCAATAATTCTAGATTCCTTTTGAAAACAATAGGTTGATCTATAGGAAATTTTCATGTTTTTTTTAAAGCTCTCTGAGAGATTTTCTCTTGACATTGAAGATCTCTTAACAATTGAATTCAATTTGGGAAAAGGGAAAAGAGAGGACTTTTAGGGAAAAATTTTGAAGCGAACTTTTGAAGTCAATGTTTATCTATCTATTGTATTCAAATTTTGTGCTAGTATTTAAAAAATAAAGATTTCTTTTCTAAAAACTAATCATTTCAATGTTCAAGCAGGAGCATACATTAATCGTGATCGCTAATCATGCTCACGAGCGATTTTATGGTCGGTTATAAGCAAGAATTTCAGTTGTAATATTAAAAAAGATGTTATTTAAGTCAAATTTGAAAGTTATTATCAAATAAAATGTGGTTTTTTTTGAAGTTATTATCAAATCTTTTTAGAAATGTGGACCGTCGTGGCTTGCTTTGTTTTGCCAGCATTTCTATTCTCGTTATTGGCGATTTTGGCTTGGTTTCGAATGATCGTTGTGAGAAAAAGGTTGGGAAAATCGAGTCAAAAGTTTAATTAAGTTTAATTAACAAAGTTTGCAATTCGTAAAATCTTTTAAAATTAATTCAAATTTAAATCTATGGAAGTACCTATTTAGAAGAACTCAAGAGTTCTTAGATGAGTCGACCAAGGATCAAATTCTCCCATCCAGGTATTTAGTATTGATCAATATACACTACTGGACAATGAAATATCATATTTGAAAAACGATCGTCACTTTCGCGCGCACTCAAATGCGTCAGAAAATACGGTATTTCTAAATATTAATATTACCATTGTATAGCCGTTGAAAAGAGCTTTCAGAAAATGTATAACACTAATAGTTTAAACTCAAAGACAAGGAAGTTACAGATGTGCGAAAGTGACGATCGTTTTTCAAATATAATATTTCATTGTCCAGTACTGTAGATTTTATCAGCAAAAAACGCTCACTAACATTTGCGTTTTTCACTGAGAAGATCCACGTTTTCTAAGCCAAATCTAAGCCAATGACTGCCTTTGGCTGACGAACGAACGGACAGACGTCTCTTCTGTTTTATATAGTAGATAGATATTAAAAGGCTACAGAATATTAAAAAAAAAAGGCTATAGAATCTAAAACTGATCTAAAATTTCAAGTGATTTAGTTCATTCTCTGATCGTGAAACGGAAAGAGCCAAAACGATTGCTATTCGAAGCTCTGAAGACTCAAGTGCTTCAATATTCATTTACACTGATTCTCATTTATGATTTGAAATGTAATTCTTATTGAAATAAACTCACATTGAAGTCACACATGGTAACTCGAGGGAAATTCCCAGTCTCTTCCCATTCTCGTCCTTGTCGAATATCGTTGAGAATCTCGAGGCCCCAGAAAGGAGATTTTGTACCGAGAAAGGCCTGAAAATTGGTTAAATGAGTGAAAAAAAGCTTACTTATTAATTAATCTCCTTTTCTCACTCACTCTAAATATACAGAATTGCACGAAAATGTTAGCCACGTAGAGCACTTTGACAATGATGTAAAGAACAGACAAATAGTGACCAGATTTTCTCGAATCTCGGATAAAAGCCACCGAATCTGAAATATCTATATCAATATTGTATTTCAATTTCAGAATTAAAGATTTCTTGATAGCATAAGTAGTAAGTTTCTATTGAAAACTCACCGCTTTTCAACTCTTTTTGCATCTCGAGGGCTTCTTTAATGTGATGAGCCGCCATTTTTACCTATTAAAAGGTTGCTCTTGTTTTTAGCTTTCTTTTCTAATATATTTTTTTGATTGGCTAATCCTTTCATAGTTTTATTTGATAGCTTACTTGTGAATCCCGTGACTTTTGATCGATCTTCTTCTTTACTTGGGCAGCAGAGGTGAGGATTGCTTTCACATTGATTCCTAGAAAGTGAATTGTTGAATTGGATCTATTAGTAAAGGTTTTTTTACTAAAAACACTAAAAAAATTGACCAGTGCTAAAGTTGAAAGCCTTCCAAATAAGTGACGGAAGATAGAAGAGGAAAGCTTGAACCGCGAGAACCATAGGCACCCATTGATAGTAGCCAATCACCTGGAAATAAAGTTACTTTAAAATGGTTCAAACTTTAAAAGAGTTACTTTAAAAGTTCCTTTAAAAGTTCCTTTAAAAGTTACTTTAAAAGTTACTTTAAAAGTTACTTTAAAAGTTACTTTAAAAGATAATCTAAATGATTATCTTTTAAGGTTTAGTATTAAGATCGAAGATAAAAATGCTTGCTTCAAATCTCTACCCACCGCATTATCTCTCTCAATAAAATCGTTGCTGAAATGGTCGTCCAGTGGAAGATAGTAACTGCCCTTGATGAAGCAATATGTCTCCGCATATCTAGATATTTTATATTTAAATTTTAGAGTTCTCTTTGTATCCGGCCATTGGATTCAATTTCAAAAACTCACTTCTCCCAAGCACCAGTGAATTGAGCGGGCACCCAGCACTAAAAAGTGAACATTAGAATTCAGTAGTACTCTTTTTGCTGAAACATATTCAGACAGAGATATAGATAAATAGTTAGTACCGTAAATACTGTAATAGTACCCCACCCCCATAATGACGGTGCGGAGTGTTGTGTAGTCTAGCTTTGAACGAGTTTTTCTCGACGCTGGTTTATGCTACAATGCGCGCTTAGATATCAAAAAAATAGCTGAAATTCAGGGCTATTTTTTGATACTAAAGACGCATTTATTGGAAGTACGGGCGCTTTGAAAAAAATTAAATACTAAAAAACTTTTGCGACTACCCGACTGTACGAGGGGGGTGGGGTACTATTACAGTATTTACGGTAAGTTTAAAAGTAATAAAAAGCTAACTTGAATCGGTTTCCCGACATATTGTGTGGCGGCAAGGGAAATGGCTCCAATCATCACAATCAAAGCCGTGTACTGATAGTTGAGCCTGTCGATGATGTCATTCGATTGGTAAGATCGACGGATTTTCGCCACATAGGGCACAATTACCCCAATCATCTTTGCGGTAAGGCTCGGCTACCTGTAGGACAAAACAATTGTTGATTTGGAAGTGATCTTTAAAATCAAACAATGTTCAACAAACAAACAAGCAATCAAACAATCAAACAAACAACAACAACAATTTTTAGATAAAAGGAGATAAAGAAGATTTTAGAACTAAAAGAGAGAAGAAAAATCAATTCTGAATCAATTGAATGACGAATTTGCGGCTAGTCAAAATAAATCGAGAACAATAGGCCAACGGAAGATTGGCTATATAAAGTTGAGCATGAAATTTAGCTTTGTAAAAACTGTGTAGTAAGTTTTCATAGGCATTGAATTGAAATTAGGTTTGAATATGTTTTTGAGTGTCAAAACAGATGGAAAGGTAAAGGTGATGAGTCACAGGGAGGCTAGAATTTGAAATAGAACAATGTTGGAAAAAAAAGAAACCATTCTTAAAGACAATTAGATCAATTGAAGAAAAAAAGCCATAAATCTAGGGTATAATAAAAGATCTATAGGTATCAAACAAATGGTAGATGAGCGAAAAGGTAATCGATAAAAACGATGATTGGTGGGGATCGATGTCGGTCGGTGGAGTCAAAAAGAGAATGAAAAGAGATCTCATTCAATCAGGAAAAGACATGGGGAATCGTAAAACGATGCTGACATTTCGCGCATGCATGAACGACCTTTATGTTTTGGAGGGATCGGTCAGACAGAAGTAGGAAGAGGCAAGGAACGATGAGAATGAGAAAATGGGAATTGTAGATGGGACAAAAAAACAAGGGAACACTGAGATTCTCATTGAATTTGTGGATTTGAGGGTATAAGATGTCTTGGGAAGAACAGAATACATTGTCACAAGTCTCCAATTGAACTACAGGATCATAGCTTTGTTTAACTTGGCTTAAATCTTGTTCTTTAGTTGTTTATTTTCTTGGTTATTTTGTTTTTTATTTTTTTTGTTATTTTTTTTGTTATTTTGTCTGTTATTTTGTTTGTTATTTTGTTTGTTATTTTGTTCTTTATCTTATCTACTTGTCACTAGACTTGTGTTTCGGTTGAACCGGAAACGTTCTTTTTCGGTTCGGTTTCGGTTGATTTCGGTTAACCGAACCGAAAGATTTTGGTTGACTTCGGTTGAGTCGAAACCGAACCGAAAAGAGCCAACCGAAACACAAGTCTACTTGTCACTAGTATTCAAATAAATTGAAAAGGGATAAAATAGGTAAAGGCAATGAGTAATAGAGGTCATTTTGAAATATTCGACAAACTCATTCTAAAACACAATTGAATCAAAAGAAAAAAAAGGAAATAACACTTTTCTTGTTCCACTAATGGATTCGATTATTCGATTGAATCAATCTCAAAGCAAAAACTTTCAAATAGAGAACTTGTACCTGTTTAGCACGGTTTAGCAGTTCAATGTTTAGCAGTTCAATGACTCAAATCAATTTTTAGAGAAATCAAACGTTAAAGTTCATTGAAAATTGAAAATCTCTATTTGCACTTTCGAAATTCCCAGTAACTCGTTTGTCCATGAAAAGATAAAGAACCAAAAACCCCTTTGTGCAAAGCAGTATTCAAATGAACCCCACTTGACGGACTGTCTGCGAAAAAAGTATCGATTCAAAAAGTGGCAAAAAAAAGGGAAAAATTTCGTAAACGACATCATTGGTGAGGGGTAAATATTTGATCAAAATATAGGCATGTAAGAAAAACGCTGTAAGAAAAAGGACAGGTTGTTGAATGAGAGAAAATCGAGATCGGGCATCGTTTGCCTCCTTTTTCCCCCTCCATCCATAGTTCGTCCCTCGTTTCCCTTCACTCCTTTCTTGGGAAAGTGGGGCTACTCGGGGGAAAAGAGGGAAGAATGGGTGTCCTCCTTTTAGTCGAACTATAAAAGAGCCATGTACAAGGGAAACCCGGGATGGGGAAAGGCTGAGATAAATATCGATGAGCTCTTTAATGACCTCTAATACCCTGAAATTGATTGGTCAAGATTTAAAAGAGTATTGAAGATAGACTAAGGTTCAACTTATCTTCTTTTTTTCAATGCTTTCATCAAAAACATTAACCTATATATTAGCCAAAGAAGAAGGAAAGAAAAGTTGAGATGAATATCGATGAACTCTCTAATACGCTTGAAAGTGATTGGTCTAGATTTAGAGAATGATCTATCCTCTAAATCTAGGTCTAAGCAAGGTTTAAATTATCTTAATGTGCAATCAACTTTTTTCAGCGTCTAAATCTAAAGGCGTAGTGGAAAACGTTGCTCGATTGGGTAACTAAACCGGGCAACGTTCCAGTCTTTGTTGTATCCAGAAATCCTATAAAGTTGGAAAAAATCTATAACTTTAACAAGTTCCAAGAAACAACGATTACCAAGTGAAATCCAGGGAACAGGTCTCTTTTGAAAATGTCAAATCGATGATGCAATTTGCATAACAACTGTCAAAAGTACTAGTTTTTGGTGAGTTGAGAAGAGTTCTGGAGAGAACAATCGATTCGAAAAGTGTCGATTTACAGAAGACAGAAAAGTGAAAAAAGAAAAAGAGAAGAGAGGAGCTGGAGAGTTTTATTCGGGGGCTTGATCGCTCCGCTGTCGCATACGATTAACGAATAAAAGAGAGGGACGACTGTTGGAGGTTTTGTTGATGGTTTTACAATGAGAATTACAATGACAAGGAGAATTTCACACCTCTGTGTTAACAAAAGTCGAAAATAATAATGATTTTTTTACATAAAACAAAGCAATGAGAATGGAATTCGACATTCTTGTCTATTATATCAGAATTGTCTTGTACTTAGACCTTTTTAGGTCGACACTGGAATAAAAGCAATTGTGATGAGCTCTACAAACCATGAAAATAGTTTAAAAACGCTATCCCAGCCAAAAAAAACTACTGAAATTAAGGATTTACTGTATCAATACAAACATCATTGATACAATAAAATCTAATATGATCAAAAGGATCAATAAATTTCAGTATTAACTTCTGTTATTGACAGTAATAACATATGAAGAGTAATAATGGCTGGACGCAGCTCTTTCTTAGACTTCATACCAAAACAATCAAATCATCGAATTAATAAGAAGAAAAACGAGAAAGGCAGAAAGCAGGTAAACGTAGTAAGATGCGCGTCACGATAATTATGGGATACCCTGTAAGTTATATAACAAAATGCTCGCAAGAAAACAGGCTTTCAAATGAGCCAAAAACCATAACAATTCATTATCAAAATAATTAGATAATTGGAACTTTTCTGCAAGTGACTGCGAAATTTTTTTAACAATCTAGTATGATGTTTGGGTAAGAGTGGGTGTATCGAAAAAGAAAACATCGAGCAGTGGTCAGGATCATCAAACCCAACAAAACAACTGCCATCTTATAGGTTTCGAAATGAGAAGTTCCAAAAATCGCTCTATCAAACATTCTCGAACTCCCATTGGAAGAATTATGTAGAGAAATTTGTGCACTTTCACTGCAATCAGCAACAAGAAGATCTCAGTATTAACTTCTGTTAAATAAATTTCAGTATTAACTTCTGTTATTGACAGTAATAACATATGAAGAGTAATAATGGCTGGACGCAGCTCTTTCTTAGATTTTACACCTAAAAAACAATCAAATCAACAACTTCTGTTATTGACAGTAATAATATATCTGTTTGGACAGAACAAACCGATATGTTTTCCTGGAAATATTGGGTTGTCCAGTTATGAATGCGCGTTACTATTTTGTAAATTTCTCAAGATATCGAACAGATTTATATGAGTGTTATATATCATTCGAAAGCTGAAGATCTCCTCTACATTTTGGAATAAACAAATTTTTGAATTCATTCAACTTTTTGGGAATTTGACTGCACAAAGGGAGAGGTTGTTTTCGAAAAGATCCACTTTAGCTTAGCTATTCCTCAAGTTTTATGGTGTAAAGAAAAGAAAAGAAAATTAAAGATGCTCTGAAATTGTTATATTAAAAAAAGTTGTATTGATATATCTATTGGTCAAACATCAAACGGTTAACTCAATTTGAGCGGAGCCAAAACTTGATCCAAAGGCACCCTTCCATTTTTTGGCCACCCCTTCTTTTGTGCAGTCAATTGGCCCAAAAGTTGAACAAAATTCAAAAACCTTTTTATATCAAAATGTAGAGGAGATCTTCAGCTTTCGAATAATACTCATATACATCTTTTTCTTGACTTCGGTATCCTGAGAAATTTACAAAATAGTAAGAAAACGCGCATTCATAACTGGACAACCCAATATTAACTTATTTCTAGATAAAACCATTTAAAGGCATCTTGTTGCAATTTTTGCAAAAAAAAAACTAAAAATAATTGAGTATTAGTTGAGTGGGAGAGTGAGTGCTGATGGTGGGATTTGTGTGAAGGTAGTCCACCGGAGGGAGACTGACAGAAGGGAATCCAAGGTCATTGATCGGGTAGAAAAGGGGGAGACTGTCTCTCCCCTTTCCCTCACCCTTTTTCCATCCCTGTATGTGTTGTTAACCTTTTCCAGACTCACCCATTTTGTGCTCACCTCAATAATTCTCTCTGTCTCAAAAAAGGAAAAATTTTCCCCACACTAAACCTAACAGGATTATAGGTGAAAAGTGAGGTTATGTTTTTGATATGGGAAATCGAGAATCGATGAGGAAAAAATGGTTTTATTTATGATTCTAAAGGGTGACCCACAATTATGGTGATGCGAATCTTACTACGTTTAACTGCTTTCTGCGTTTGACTGACAGAAGTCTTTATTTTTTTCTTTTCTTCTTATTAATTCGATGATTTGATTGTTTTTTAGGTATGAAGTCTAAGAAAGAGCATTATTACTCTTCATCAAGGAACAACACTCGCAGAAATATCTCGAAGCTTACAGGAAGAGAGACAGAATGTTTTTGGTGCTCTGAAGCGTTTCAAAGAAACGAGCTTTAATGAAGATCGTAAAGGACGAGATTCACCAAAGACTGCCAACAATTCAAAAAATCGTCGAAAGGTTTTGA